TTATTATATTTATTATTATATTTATATGCCACTTTTCCTCTTAAGTGGAAGTCATGAGGGATTAATCAACAACAAATTTAGCTGTGTTTTGATGGAAGAAGAAAAGAAGGCCATTCAGTTTATGAATTAGAAGAGAGCAATGCAAGACTGGTACATGTCATTCTAAGGAACTTGCAAAGACTGACAGAAGCAGGCCAAAATTCATTCAGGCCAGCAAGGCAGACATGAACCACGATTTGTTTAAAGCTTATTTAAAAAAAACTTGTTAGCTCCAGAGATATGCAACTATGGAGCTTAGCAGAGAGAAGAAAAGCAACATTACATCAGGAAGATGGGTAGGAGCCTTCTCTCCATCTCACAGCTCCACAGTGAAAGTGCACTGGGCCACAAGCTTTATGGGGCCTATCTCTTAAGAATCCATCCTGTGCATCAAGTAAAGAGAACACAAAGCAGAGCCCAGGAGCAGCTGTTGGGAGGCGCAGGACTTGAGGCACTTAACATTAGAGAGTTCTGGGAAGAAGGCATCACCACCAGAAAGCTCTGATCTGGTTGCTCAGGAACAGTGAGATGGCCTTACAGGAGACTACAAAGCAGCAGAGGGAATCACGGGTGGCTAGTCTCAAGGGAAGCACACAACCCTGGTTTTGAGGAGCATCATCTAATTTTTGCTCCTATGCTGTTTCCGGATAGCTCTTTAATCACACTGAGCCTGCTACTGAGGCTTTCACTAATTCTGCTGTATAGCTGCTCTTTGGTTTCAGTGTTCCTCTAGCAGTTGCCATCAACAAAATACTATGTGCCTGTCATTCCATGTAAGAAAAAAGATTGGCCAGACAGGATACCTTAGGAAGATCAGTTCATTCCACCAGGTTCCACCTCTCTTCTGCGTCTGCTTAAGTGTCTATCATAAATCCAGATCTGCACCAGGCTCTTCAAGATAATTTGCTAGGGCTTGCATTAGGGCAATCAGACGTTTTTGCTCAGTCAACAGATCAATTGGTCTGGGCACACCTCAAAAATAATTTGGAAGAAGTGCTTCAGATCTCACAAGAACACAGCATCTCTCTGCTCTTCATTAAAGCAACCCTTTTTTTTAAGCTGCTGCATAAGACTGAAGAATGGATGCTGCTGCTTTAAGAGTCACATTAGAGTTGAGTCATTAAAGTAGCAGCACTTTTTTCCCACTCAAATAGAAGCTTTAAGTTTTAAGGAAAAGCAAAGAACAGTTGTGCTTGCAGCAGAGTGGGGTAAGTTTCCTCCAATTCTCTTTTAAATGTGTACAGCACTGCTAATCAGTTCTCAAGGATTTCCACGGGGCCTCGTCACCTCAGAGGCTTCTGGGTCAGCCCCTGTAGTCCTTTCCATTCTCAGACAGGATGCGAAGTTGAGCACAGACAATTGCACTTAGGTCACTGAATTAGGTCCCAATCTTAGAATGGGAGATTCCAGATTGGAGTCCTTGGCAAATGTTTACAAACCTGAGAAGGAAATGATTTATGCCACTTAATCAGCTACCTCAGAGTACCCAGAGAGTTAGGATCTTGCGCTAACAAGAGTAATTCTTGAGGCCTTAAGTAAAAACTTAGAGGGATCCACTGGGGAGCAGCCTATGAAGAAATGGTCTGCCTGTGCTCCACTGTTGTTTGACCACAGGGACAGGCTTGGCGCAACATGCTAAGAACAACACTCCAAAAATGGACAAGGCTGGGATCAAAGTGAGTGGGGCCATTTTATTTTTTATTTAGTTGTGTATGTGTGTGTTTGCAGCTCCGTTACCTATCAGTAGGAGGAGGTATGACACTGAAGACAATAAACATTCTGCAAGTTGTAATGCATTTTTTTGGAAAAGACAGAAGCAGCTTCCTGTTTCTTCCACTGATTTCAAAATAAAATGAGACTTTCTACTGTGCCATGGCCCCTCTATTAAAGAAAAAAAGCTATTTGGGGAGCAAGCCACCTGGCTTGCTGGTCCCTTCCATTTACAAAAAAACTCCTTCAGTCTTAATGACTGAATGGGTTGGAAAAGATTGGGAAAGGTTTGGGGGAGGGAGTACAGAATGGTTAGAAAGGGTAGGGAGAAGTGGAGGGTAGGAGAAGCAGGAGGAAACACTGCAGAGGCTGTTGTGGGAAGAGGGTGGTAGTGGGAAATGCAACAGTGGGGGAAGGTGGGGGAGCTAGCCCTAACTCTAACCTGGGCATTCCCCAGTGCCATGCCTTTTGCATTCTTGCTTTTAACCCAAGGAATCCACTCCTCGACTCTTTATCTACAAATTTACTATAAACAATTTCTTTGGGTGAGGACTGCACGCCAGGTGATGCAACATCTATTAGTAATGGAAGGAGGGAAAAGAAGATGCCACCAGGCATGAAAATTCATGGATAAAGTGTTGAAAAAATATCACCTCAAAACCAATCAAGAAGGGACCCTACTGAGCACATACGTTTCTCCCTCTCCATTCTCAAACGCACAAACGATTGATTCATAGAGTCATAAAACTGTAGGCTTGGAAGGGACCTCAAGAATAATCTAGTCCAGTGTTTCTCGACCTCAGCAGCTTTAAGATGTGTGGACTTCAACTCCCAGAATTCTCCAGCCAGCATGCTGGCTGGAGAATTCTGGAAGTTGGTCCACACATCTTAGAGTTGCTGAGGTTGAGAAACACTGATCTACTCCAACTTCTGCAGGAAAGCCAATTGATTAGGAAGCCTGCTGCAAAACAAGGAAAGCAAAAAGGGAAAATTTCGTATATGCATAATATAGGCTTGGCTCACACATTATATTAATTCACATTTTGCTTTACAAGCCACACTGGAATGAACCACAGGTAATAGTAAACCATACACCAGGCCCGCACAACATACAGCCCGTGGGCCACATGTGGTCTGCCAAGCAGTCTTGTAGGCCCACTACCATTTTTTAGGTGGTCAGTAAATTCACTGCTGCCAAACATCACTGCCTCCAGGAAGGATCTGCTGCGGGTGCCCCAAAAGACACACTGCCAATGTCTCCAGGCTTCACTGATGCCGCCAGCTCCAGCACCGCTGCCACTCCACTAGCTGATTGATGCATCAGGTATTCCTCTTCAGCCTGCAATTATTTTTAATTTATCAATGTGGTCCTTTCTTTTCTACAAATTTGCAGGCCTGCCATAAACTGGGTTCACAAACCATAATGGCTGTATTCACACATCATACTGTCCTAATGTGATTTGTATGGTTTCAGCGTAATGCTTTATACGTTTCCAATGAATGAGCAAATCACAACGCCAGTTGATTAGCTCAGCTAGTCAAGTTCATTTGTCGGTGTGCATGTAAGCATAAAGGCACCACTGATCCTCATTATAAAACAAGAGAAATAATTTAGGAAGGCACTGTTTCGCACTGGTGCTCCACTAGATTTCAAACAGGGATTTTGTATGCACTCAGCAAATATCTCTTCAATTAAAAAAAACCTCAGTAAAATGAGCATGCTAGATGTGAAGAAAAGGGATGGCTCTCCCAGCTGACATCTCAGTACCCCAGAGAAAAAAGGACAGGGTAGCAGGGAACTCTAGTGGAATGTGATCCAGGCAAAACTGTGCTACAAAAAATCCAGAAAGACATAATGAAAATAAGGCATGGTATATCCTCATTTGCAGTGGACCTGTAAACCATCCTGTGCACCTGCACTCATTGCAGCCAGATGCCAAGTGTTATGCTCATAGACAACTGTAGCTTTTGTGTTTCAAACAAAGGCAACGTTTAGAGATGACCAGAGAGGAAATGAGAGTTATATCTCTTCTTCATCCTCACTCGCGGCCCCATCTAGATGACTGGCGGCGTGTTCAGCCTGTTCCCTCACATACTGGGCTTTCAGCTGCTCCAGTTCTCTCAGCTCAGCCTCCACTTCCAACCTGTGCACTCCACGTCGATTCTGAAGCAACTTCATGGGAAATGGATTCATATCACTGAAGGCGATGCTCATCAGCTTCCTGGAAGAGGGCAACTACGTGAGCCAAACAAGAAAAGGAAACCTGGTAACTCTGGCTGAACATACATTTGGGAGAGAAATATTCTTGGTTTCTCTCACAAACATCAAGGCAGAGTCTCCAAAATATAGCGGCTTTGCCGAATGTAGGTCCAAGCTCAACGTGTTTGTGCTGTTTTGCAAAAGGCCTCTCTTCCCTCCATATTTTAGATCACATTAACTCCAGATTTCCTGGGAAGCTTTTTTACATGTAATTAAATAAAGCTTCATATTAAACAGTAGCATCTGCAACAAACTATGATGATGCCAAAGTGACACCTGGGTGATGACACTATCTCCCAAATGCTGCCATTATGTACTTGCATCTTGCCATGAGGCAAATATGTACAATGCAGTATTTGTATGATGTCATCATACCAGTGTCATTGTTTGTTCTACTTTGCCACACCCTCAGAGACACCCATGATATTAGATGTTGGTGGTCAGTCAAACCACCAAAACACAGACACAGAGATTTAAGGATCAGTGATATCAAACTCAAGACCCATCAGTAAATATATTGAAATGAGGAGGAAAAAGGGCATTAACAAGGCCTGTTCATTTTATTGGTGCTCAGGCATCCTTTTCACATCGTACAAGTAGAAGCCCCTTCCTTAGAGTTAGTGAGTTTCCCATCTGACCACTGTGTTACTCCAAGGTTGGGCAACAACATGAGGAACTAGGGCTGGTATGGCTTAATATAGGAGGAGGGCCTCATTTTAGCCCAGTAGTCAGCCTGACGGCTTCCCATTTGCCTCAGTAATATGATATTTAAACTACATTATTTTATCCGTGATCTGTACCTGGGCTTGGATCTGTATTTGTATTTGGCTTCTAACAACATATTTACCTGCCATCACAGATAGTTTTGGTGAAAAAGCGAAGATACTGATAAAATTCCAGATTGTCCTGAATCTTCAATATTGCTTCTTCATTATATTTAAAAATTGCGAGAGCGTAACGGAATATCACCTGGGGCAAAAAGAAACTTGGTTGACTACCATGTAGTATATCATTGGAGGGGATGTAGTCATACCTGAATAATTTACAAAGATGTAAACACTTATGCAGGAAAGTATCGATTCAATAAGCATATTTGGTGTCCAGAAGATTGGCCTAAATGTCTAGTTGCTGGGAGATATATGAAGACACTTTGCTAACTTTATGGATGGATATGACTTTCTTACCTTTGCCCCTTCATAGAGGAAAGCATCCCAAACTCTGAAGAGAAGGTCACTGACAAGACTATCAACAAAAACCACCAGGAACCAGTTGAAGGTCACTAAGGACAGGTCAATTTGAAGCTGCTCCAAGTGAGCTGTCAGCCTGGGAAGCTTCTCCGACAAGATATCTTTGAAGACCCTTTGATCTACCTGGATTTGGCAAAACAATAGTGATAAGCATTTATATTAGAAAGACTGGTCTTCTTTTCCATGGTCTCATGGGTTGATGGCCCTTATAGGCAGAAAGATCTATATGGGAAAATGTGGTCCTTTAGATACTGTCTGAAACCATGTTTAAAAATTCTTTCCAGCACTTTGAAACAAACACCTCTCTTGAATTGTACCTAAAGCTGACTAATGTCTTAGACTGTAGCTAATTCCAACATGATCATCTACAATATCTGAGATGCTTCTAATAGGTCTTGCCGCACTTTAAGTAATTCTTAAAATAACTTATTTTTCCCAATGAAAAATCCCATAATTGTCCTGTTCCTCAGCACAGAAGGGAGCCTCAGACTTACTTGTGAGCCTATTAATGTGTTGCTGTAGTAATCTTGAGGCATTAAATTCTTGGTGATATGAACTAGGCACCAGAAAGCTTCTTCTTCCTCTTCTAGAATCAACAAGGCAATGGCAGCTAGTCTAGGATGAGTAAGACACCATTGTAACTAAAGCAGGTGAACATACTAATGCACTAGACCTGTGACACTTCAGATGGTCACAAATCTGAATTTTCAATGTTGAAAATAACAACAAAAAATGCTGAAGAGTCAGAGGATTCTTCTAAAATTTTGGCCACATTTGAAATTAAGAAGTAAGAAATAGCAGGCACCTGTTCAATCCTTGGCAATAGCCGATGGTTGGATTTTGCCAAGAGAATGCAAGTAAAACTCTCCTGAGTTTGGGAATAAACTGGGAAGTTGGTGACATAAAATGTCTATTGTTGGGCAGTGTGCGATGCAGATCCAGTTCAATTTGCTGGGAAGCTGGATGCTCAGCAACTTCACACTTCTTGAGTAAATTGTGGTAATGGCCAGCAGAACGCATTTGCTTAACCCGATGGCTGATAATCCACTTCCATACCCTCTGGCGATGCGCCATTGGGACACCACAGCGCAATAAGCTTTTTAGCTCCGAGGAGGGAGTCAGTTCTCCAAGGTTATTCCATCGCTCAGAGAGAGATTTCTCTGTGGTCTCCTTGTTCAGATTACTGCATTTGATCTCCAGGGCTTGGATTTTGGACAAGAGCTTCCAGTCTGCAGCTTCATATTCAGGAACTGTCATAAACCCATAATCATCATATTGACTAAACAGTGGAAAGAACAGAATTAGGGAAATGACAAATTATTAGGAGTCTTTGGTGATGAAAATATGAATTGTCTTCAAACATTGTAACAATTTTTTGAATGTTAAAGAACCGGAGGCACCTTTTAGAGATACTGAAAGAAGCCTAGCATATGATCATGCACAGTTCAATCAAAAATAGTGCTGATAGGTAGATGAAAAGGCCATCTACTTTTTTTTTAGCTTTTACAATAACACACTGGGACCAAAACACTCTTACAGCCTCACTTAACAGCTGTTTTAATCCACAAATGCAGGCCAGCAGCTAAAGGTTTATTTTATGTTATCTTACCTTACCTTATCTTATTGCAAAAGTAGCATAAGGACATATAGCATTATCAGCTAGCCATCAGCTGAAGAATGAATCTGAAATTCTTGCTTCCAGCAACAGTGAGCCTGGTGCGACAACCACCATTCCAGTGGCATCTGCAGACTCTCATTGCTTTCATTAGCATGACTGAAGAAGTATTATGGCATTGCACTATAAGCTCCGCCCCTTTTGGAAGTGTGTGTGTGATGTTGCAACACATGTAGAAAAGGCCCCGATCTTGTTTTCATCAGACTGACCCCTTCCCAACCCCACTGAAGATAACACTGATCCACTCCACAGGCATGCCATGCCTCTTTCACACACGGCCACATCAGCAATTTACTTGACTGGGCTGAGCTGAATAGGAATCACGGTTTCTTCCTTCATATCCCACTGCAGCGCCTCTTCAATGAGTCCTTTCACCAGTGCCATGTGCTCTTTAGCCAAATCCGGCAGGCTTTGTAGCGTCCGGAGAAACATCAGGTACTTGCTTTCAATCTGGCAGTTGTGGGCTTGAAGATGGGCACACTGCCGTATGAAGAGAGAAAATGGTTGTCAAAATAGAGCCATTGTTACATCTGCCTCTTGGGTTCATTCTGAAGTCATTCCAATTTAAGTCTTTTTTAAAAGATAGAGCAACAGGCTTCTGATTAAAGTATAGACTATTGAAATAAATTGTTTGAGACAGGAATGTGATCTTGTTACTATAAATTCATGTATTCTGCTGTTCATTTGACTTGTATACCTATATATACCTATATATTTGCTCTTGTGTTGTTTTGCATGTTAATTGTTCAGGAGATGGGAATTTTTTTTCCATTAGTGTTTTCATTGCAAGAAATCTGCAATTCTATCAACCTTTTCTGAACTATGATTTCATGGCATTTTTGAAGAGAAGTGATTTTAAGACATTCTGGGATAAATAAGAGGAGGGTATTGCAAAGACCCCTAAGGAACAATTAATCTTTTTGTACACTGACACACACTCTTTTAGTTTCGACACATACGTTGTCTACTGTGGGAATTCTATCAACAAAAGCTAGTGCCAACCAACTTTAGGAGTAGTGAAAAAATTCTGCCCTTACTAATTTTTTCCCAAAAAGTAACAACTGCAGTATTTTACTTTTTCTTATAAGAATTTGGCAATCGGCCATTGAATTGGTAGCACCACTGGGTTATGGATTCTCTCTTTTCCAGTGGCCATCTCATCCAAGACAGCTTTTAACTGCTTTCCTTCATGTTGGATATCATTAACTGGTGATCCTATTCACATGTTAATTCATAGCATCATTGAGTAGGGAGGGACCTTATGAGTAGTCAGGTCCAGCCCCGAACTCAGTGTAGGCTCCTTGGTCATCTGTCAGAGCATCTGAGACAGATGACCATCCAGCCTCTGTTTGAAGATGGTGACTCATATGGTCAGTTTATGAGGCCAGGCATTTGATATGTGCAATTGATACTCATGCCTTAAGCACAGAATTCTGAGGAAAAAAACCAAAAACAAAACAGGTGTTAGCAGCTATCCACGTGTGGGTGTTTTCTACAATCATGAAGCTCCTACATCCAAGTATCTACTTAAGTCTCCATTGGGTTGTGCCTCTCTACCTAAATTTGGTCCCTGTCAGGGTTGCAACTTTTTAAAACTAAAAACAAAAAAACACTGAATTTGTTGTTCTTTACAACTTGTTTGGTTTTCAGTTTACATTCACATATCTATTAATATGATGTTTTTCGAAAGGTATGTTCTTTCTGACCACATCTTTCCCAAATATATGTTTTGCGCATATCTGTGAACTGGAAATGATAGCTTTTTAGCAGACTCCATCATTTATTGCTGACTGTGTTACAACTGAGATAATTTGGGTTGACTGTGGTAGCAACTGATGGCAGATTTCTTTTACTGATGTCTATTTACATCTAGGGAATTCTGAAATATTACAATCACACTGAACCAATCTGCACAAAACTGTGTTTGTGGGTAAGATTTTTTTTTTCAGATCTCTGAATTCACATGTGAAAATTGAGCCCACAGCTGGCCCAAGAACACAAAATTGGGATGAAGCCAATTATGTGGCCCTTCTCAAGCTGCATCATGTGAACAGCTACATGGCAGTGACATGAGAAATTAGTGAATAAAAAGAGTTCCTAAAGTTCTCCGTGTTCTGACAGACAAGAAGGAATCTTCTTATATATCTGAAAATCAAATTAAAAATGGAAGAAGAAAATCAGAACAATGATGTGGGTCAAATAGCCTTGCTTCTTACCTTCATCAGAAGGGTTTTTTCTCTCTGTGCCACTGTGCTCCATATTTTGGTAACCTGGTGGACTTCAGAGTTCAAAAATTGGTTCTGAGTCTTGTATGCCTCAAGATCATCCTGAGAAAAAGACATGAAAAGTCTTTTAAAATAACTCTTACCCAACTGAAATGCTCATGCAATTAGCTATATATTGGTGGACATTGGGATCTCAAGGAAGGAAGAAATGAAAGAAGAATCAGGCTCTTTTTATTTCTTTATAGTAACCCTTCCGTGGTTTCACAAATTGATCAAGAGCATTGCTGCCTAAAATGTAACATAAGCCTTCACTCTTCTAATGTCTTTGTAGACTTAGACAAACGCTACAGCCACAAAGATAAACAGAACGACAGTATTAATGTAACTTAGCCAATGGGAACTAAGCCCCATACAGTGGAGGACTCAAGGCAGATTCAGGCCTTCTCTGGCTTAGGAGCAATCAAACAAGAACCCCAACTCCTGTAGAGTCCATCCCACACTCTTAGATCATCAACAAGGCATCATTTATGTGTCCTGTTGCAGATACATTAGACATTTATAATTAATTCTTTCTCTTTTAATTATGTTAAGATTTTAATAATCTTAATGATGTTTTAAAGTTTATTTTTAGTTTTCCTATTTGAATGCTAGATTTTTAAGCTTCTGAGCTGTTAAGGGAACGAGTGGCATAAAAATATTCTAAACAAATAAAGTCTAGGAAGCAGCAGACTCCCTTCTGAAACCATCTAACAGCTAGCTCAGGTTTTGAATACATTTTAACCTGATTAACAGTAAGGACTAGTTCCATCCAAGGAGGAAACAAATTCTCATGAAATGGTAAATATGTCTATAAATTGCAACAGCTGAAGATGAACCCCCACTACAGAGGGGGTTCTTTATGAGGGGAGGGGGAATCTTATCCCAAAACAACCAAGTCAGGATGACTATTAAGCTACAACTCTTCTTCCTGATGTAGCAATCTTTGTGTGGAGATTTGTTTTAAAATAGAAGATTATTTTGGCATGTGAGTCTCCACTAGTTATTTACAGTGATTCAGCCCAGAGGTTTTATCAGTTCATTTAAAATGATGCCTAAGAGTTCTTTCAATGAGAGGCTATGGTACAGCAGTCCTCACTTACTGACTGCAGTAAGAACTGGCAATTCTGTTGCTAAGTGGCACGGTCATTAAGCACAATGTCATGTGACTGTGCCGGCTTATGACATCAGTTCTGTCAGTACTGGCTGCAGTCGTTAACCAAATCGCCACATTATGTGTAATGTCATGTGACTACAATAAAATCAATCAATCAATCAATCAATCAATCACCTTTATTGATTAGTCTTGCAACCATATCATGTGGCTACAACTTGCAACTTCCTGCTGGCTTTCTCATTGACTTTGCTTGTCAGAAGCCAGTTGTGAAAGTAGCAAATGGCAATCATGGAATGCTGCAACCATCATAAATGCGAGCTGGTTTCCAAGAGCCCAAATTGCAATCATGTGACCATGGGGATGCTGCAATGGTATCAGTCATAAGACTTCTTTTTTAGCGCCATAGTAACTTCAGACGGTCACTGAATGGTCAGTAAGCAAGGACCACCTATATTTGTTTTTTTCCCCTTTTTTTACATTTAAAAGACAGAAACAATTGAAGGTGAAAGAAGAAGAAAGAAATTATGAGCCAGTTGACTTTGTGGGCTTATTTGCAAAAGGAAAGTTTTTCTTCTCCTGAGTTTTCCAGAAGAATGTAAAAGGGTTTCTATTTGTACCTGCAACCAGAGAGACAAAATGGTCCAGGGGAAGCTTCAAAATTCAGTAATGTAGGTGGGGGAGATGAAAGTAGATTACAGGTGTTTTTTCTTTTATGTCAGTTCCATGAGTACTAAGTGAGTTTCTCCCATGACACACTCCCTCAGGCCAAGGCTATGCACCGCCAGTGCTAACAAATAAATAAAAGTTAAATTTGCATGAATAAGCATGCACTTGGTGCAAATTGTGGGCTTATCGCAGCTGTGCCACTCACATGAATGTTACAAAAATCATTATGCCATTTTCACTTACATGGAATATTTTTACGTAACTAACTATGCACAATGTATCCTAACTTACATAGATTTATTCTAGATTTCCCATTCATAGGGAAGAGCCAAGAACTGCAAAGAGCATCAGATTTTTTTTCTCAGGCCAGGAAATCTTATTGAACTGCATCTCTGGCTTCCAAGAATTAGGCAGGCATTGCCCACCAATTTAAACATGTTTTTCCTACTGTAATTGCTGCAAATTTGTTGTAAAATAAATATGAATCAATGTTTTTTAGGAGAATGAATTTGTTGCCCAATATTATATCCGGTGCTATTTTTAGAAGTTTCTACAGATATATGCAATGCACAAGCATGTCATTGACAAAACAACAAATGTGTGGAATTGTGAAAGGCTATACAGCCAAAGTGCAACAATACTTTACTGAATCTTCTCTATACTATTTGAGCCTAGTTGTGGCTTCCTCTCAGAGTACCTTTAGATGTTCAATCTCTTCCTGCTGCTTGTACAAGGTCTCAGCTGTGATACTGTCTGCCTCAGTAACGGGGTCATGCATCTCTCTAGTGAGCTGCTCTGTCAGCTTGAGAATGACTTGTTGCTTGGCTTGGTTTTTGTCCATCAAGATCTGCACGTGTTCTCTCAGCTCCTTGATGTGTTCCTCCTTCAAAGCAACCTCCTGCTCCAGTTCTTTCTTTTCCATTTCCAGCACTTGAACCTGTTTGTTCAGCTCAGCAATCTGCCTCACTTTGTGCCGCAGCAATTCCAGCCTATCTTCTTCCGTCGCTGTGACCAGATACTTGCAGGACTCTCGTTTCTCTTGCTGGGCTGCCTCCAGAGCTTTGTGGAGAAGTTTAACCAGTTCCTGTGGGAGAAAAAAGAAATGAAAGGACAAATCTATCAAAGACTACTAGATTGGGTAGTAGCGATGGAGGCAGTCCTCTGCTACAAACTAGGAGCCCAGGAGCAAGAATGGGAAAGAAAGGCTGCCCTGATCTTCCATTTAGGGCTTCTTAGGTACATCTGGTAGGCCACTGCTTGAGACAGAGGGCTTGCTAATTAAGTCTAGGCCAAATCCAGCAGGGCTACATTTGTGTTATCTTTTTCTCACTCTCATCACTTTGTAGGTCAACCCTTACAAAATGTCTCTTTAAATACAGAAAGAGGAACATAGATATAAAAGATGCAAGTCAAGATCCCCAAACATTTGGGGCTAGTAGCACATCTGGAATTTTGTCAGCATGTTTTAAGCATTCTCAAGAAAATGGTTGAAGTGAAAATGGCTGAAATGATGGGCATGGACAATAATAAGTCCCTTAATGGGAAACTGATGCAATTGTTTCCTAGCACCTCTTCCAGCCTCTCAGAATGCTCTCTATTATCTTTGTTTTTTCCTGAGCAATTGGGTAGATGCCTAAACAAAGCACCGAAGCCTGCAGGATCCAACATTTTGTTCTCTAAAAATGCCTCTGGGTCAGTTTGGAGTCCACACCACAGAGTTTGCTGGAAATAAATGACAAGCTTGAAGCTGATGCTTTGCTTTGCAGCATGCTATCTTCTTGGGGTTTTTTCTTACTTAAAAGAATATTTTTAAAAAATCAAGTGTAACAAGTAGTGTTGCCAATGCCAATCAAAGTACACTAGAACATCGTGTTGTGGACTGAGGTGTAGATGGATACAGTTCTTAGCTGTTCTGCAGACCTTCATCTAAAGTGAGGTGGAAAAAAATCATGGTGGCAGATTTGCCTTCCAAGGAACTTTGCATGATTAAAATGTTTTTTCATTCCCTACTTCTTCAGATACCACAGGCAAACTGACATAAAATAGTAGAGTAGCATATGTGCCATGCTGTGCCAAGAAGATGAAAAAAAAAAAGATATGGGCAAGATCTCCATGGGATTTTGAGCATAATCCAGCCAAAGCCATCACTGGGGTGATGTAAAGCTTCTCCTCATTATTATTATTATTATTTTGGCACAGTGATGGTTGGATGATTCCAAAAGACACTATAAATCTCTAGTGGCCATAAACCCAGCTCATATACAGTTTTAGGATTTTAGATTATAGTGTCAAGAGACTGTATATCTGACTTGGCTATTATAGGTCAACAAAACACAAAGTGAACTTCCCTGTTTCCTTGAATCACCTCAACACAATACAGCTGATTCATATATTCCCTATAGCCACTGGGCTTGTGATGTTCATATGATCTATCCCAGGGAGCCACTTCAAACTGACTTGCTGTTATATTAAATAACAACTCTTAGAAAATCTATCACAAATGTTGGGAATGTCCCCTTTGTTTGTTATACATGCAGCTCTTTGTGCAATTCTCTAAAAGCAACATCGCTGTTCCTTATTCAGTTTTGCACATTTTCAAGGTCATTGTTCACTTTATCAGAAACAAATGTTCATTTCAGAAGCCAGTAATCAGCTGACCTAACAAACCAACTTGGATCTCAGCTGGCTCATGATTTCCAAAACATTCATGTTGACTGGCAATTCTAGTTATTGTACTGTAATTCTAAGAGGCTGGGGAAAGCTACAGTAAAGAAAAATGTATTTTAGTAGCTCAGGGGTAATTTTCTCTTAAAAAGTTCCATTTCACTGAAACTACAGTATTTCTAAATCCTCACAGCACATGAGGCTACACTGGGCAGAACTGGTAGACTGAATCTTCTTTCATCCATGGTATTCTTACTAGCCATCTCCAAATCTGCAACTGAATAAGGTTTCTTCCCTTCATTCTTTTTAAGTATCCAGCTTTCATAGCGGTACATTAAAGGGGGAAAATTGTTTTAACTATTCTGATATGTTCAGTCATTGCAATGTCCTTCTTTTTCATGATCTTGTATGTCACTGCCCTCGTTGCTATGAAGAGCTTCTACCTCTCCAGCAAGCTATTCAAATAAATTCTTTACCACTTTCATTGCTTCAAGATAAATGGTAAAATCACTAAGCTTGTTGCTTGACATTACCTTTGTCTCCTTAATGTCTAATATTAACCTGGATTTGTCACTCCAGTTTTATTTCATAATGGGGTCTTCTAAATCTTTACTTTCAGTTAATGGAGTGATATTATTTGTGTACAGTAAAAACTTGATTTTTATGGACGCAATACAGTGGATTCTGAATGTAACAGGCAGAAATGTAGTTAAAATTTCAGCTGCAAAATATGTTTTTTTCTGAAGCAGTACTGATTACTAAGATCATTTAGATCATTTGCCTAATTACCTAATTGGCATTATCAATTTACGTCATTTTTATAATTAGACATATGATGTAATCTGATGCAAACAGTGTAATTATGTCAAGTGTGTAATCACACAAATGACGCAAATTACTTTGTTTTTTTTGTACATGTGTTCACTGTGAATATTTGTGAAAACATTAACAGCATAAATATCACTGTAAATAATCCTGAAAAAAAATCAGCTGTTCTTATTAAGGCCAATAATTAGTAATTAATATTTATTAAGGCTTATTATTAAGATCAATAATTAGTCTTAATATAGTCCATGTTCTGGCCTGAGTGTATGGTTTAAGACCTTGCTGTAGTCAAACTGACCACAACTTGAGGTAGGGGCAGTGGAAAAGTTTCTGGAATTCTTTAAGGAGGATAGAGCAAACATACTAGCCCTGCCCTTTTCTTGTCACCTTCCATGTGCAGAAGGTGAATATCTGCAATGGGGAGCTTAATCTATCCAAAGAGGTTCTTCACGCAAATGAGGATTTGGGAAAATCAGGTTTCTCAATTGGTGAAAAGTCTCCATAGACAGAAAGGCTCTCCTTGGGAGATACTACCCAAGGAGGGAAGAGAGGAGGATAGGACTGGAATGCTGGTTGAACAATGCTAGAAGTTCTAAGTACTGTATATGTGCCTGGGAATAAGTAGCACTGGTAGCAGCAATTTTATTTCAGCGAGACTTCCTACAGAATTAGCAGATGTACCTTTTCTTCTACTTGCAGCCTATCCCTCCACAGCTCATAGGAAGTAAGCTGGGCAAATAGATCCTTTCCAATTACACATCAGCCTATGTGTACTTAGATGAGAGTGCCACTGAATTCAATAGTATTTATTTCAGAGTAAGTATGTAATCTGATCCCAGATTGGCAGTTGGTGTCTGTGTGTGCGCGCATGTGTGAGAGAGAGTAGCTTGCATGTGAGATAATGATTTGTGTTCATATATGTAGATGGGGATCAATTTATTTTAAAATTGGGATGCCTTATTTTTATGGCAATGACTTGTAATTAGTATTCATTCACTCGCACAATTAATATTAATTAATTTTTTAGTTTGGGAACTGCTGTATTTCTGGAGTGGGACTTCTGGCCAGTGTGTTGGGGGGAGGAGGAAATCTTCCAGGATTGTATTCAGAGGGAATTGACAATTCTGGTGGATAAGGCAGTGCAGCTGAACTATGTATAGGGTTTTTGACATGTTTGTAACTATTTTATCTCTCTAACCTTTTTTTTTTTTTTTTTTTGAGGAGTCAACATAAATTTAAAATCGCCTTCATTTTGGAGGAATACATTAATTACATGTTGGTAAAGCATATATTGATTCTCAGCAAAAGGATGATAAAAGGTAATATGCAAGCTAAAATTAGAATTAAATACCCACTAAAGTGCTCTTACAAGATATGTGTGAACACAGTCACTATAGTTTGTAAATCATGACTTATGACTTAGCACAATGTGTGAACCAAAGCAAACCATAGCTTAGTGTGAGGCACGGACGCTAATGAATGAATTCATTTTCTTAAAACAAAAGTACTGTTAAAGCATTTAATGACACTTAGCAGCTTAAAGGATCAATTTGGAGCTTATTTTGTAAAAGCTCCTTCCTTTTTTTCTTCTATGAAATAATCAAGAACAAGACACTTTTTTCAGCAGATGTGCAGGAAATGTGTCTCAACAGAGAATTTTGGCAGAGGAACTACTGAATGCAATATTTTCCAAGGTTATCTCCTCTTTTAACATTAAGTTGAGCATGTAAAAGAGAAGCCCAACAATTTATTACGGGAACAAATCAACTCAGTTTGATATTCTAGGAGTCCTTCTGTAGCTTCTGATATCTGAGACTGTTGCTGGATTAAGAACACCAGGATGAATAACTGATTTTATATTTTACTGGTTTTATGTATTACTTTTATTGGTTTTAAGTGGATTGTTATCAAACACTGGGAATCCTTGTAGAGTTGTTGATATATACACATACCAAAATGAATAAATAACTAAATCTGTGAGCTGTAACTATCTGGGAGTTAGAAGATTGTATAATATTCCAGCCAAATACAGAACAAGTTTTTTCTACTAGTCTGATTACAATAACCTCATTTATTAGTGACTGGAAACCCTTTGCTGAAGAAAGAAAAAAATGAACTTGTGATTTATGGGTTTCACAATTAGAATGGAAAGAAAGAAATTATGATGTAATCTTAGAGAGAGATGGTAAAGTATAAATGGTGTTAAGAAGATCAGAAACCACTTCTTTATAACCTTTTCTTCTCTTTTCTTTCTTTTTCTTATTTTCTTTCTTATCTATTCACTATTTTGCTTTGTTTTTCATTAATTTTGTCTAAAATTTGTATTGCTTTTATTTTGTTAAATTACGTTTCTTTAATAAAAATTATTTAAAAAGTTTTTTTCTACAGAACATACATTTGGATGCAATATTTTTAGGGGGGAAATTGCTTCATGGAGCATGAAAAAAAATATTGTGAATTTTTTTTTTCACAGTGCCCTTCACTCCATTAATGTAAGATTTTCATCCTTCCCTCCTTACAAGGTATATACTGTTTTCCCCTTTATTGTCAATATTATGCTCCTAAACAACTGTCAGACTGATTAGATTCACAGTGACAGACCCCAAATTATTTAGGAATAGCTTTGCGACTAAGTTAGAATTTGAATCTGGATCTCTCCTCTCCTACCTAATTATGTTGCTGCACCTAGCCAACTTAAAAAGCTAAATGAAGTCCCAAGCTATAGGCTAGACTGGGAAGTTGGGAAAAATCCTACAAGAAGGCAGTGACAAACCACTTCCACTATCATTAAAAAGGCTTCATATCCGTGGGATCAGTAGGAGCTGTCCTTGACTCAAAGGAAACTTTACTGTTACCTCTATAATCTTAACCTAACCCAACCTAATCCAATAACACATTGCCATTGATTGATCAATTATATGCCATCAAGTCAGTATCAACTGTTAGTGGCCTCATAGATACATTTTCTCCATGATAATCTGTCCTTAAATTGGGCCTTCAGGTCTTCCAATGGTGCACCCATCACCACTGTAACTGAGTCCACCTTGCTCACATTCCCATACATTACCTCAATATGATATGGACGTGTGGGACTTCTGGGGGGAAAATGGCAAAATGAAGACAGCTCTGCTAAAAGCAGAGCCGGCGACCACAGCAGAATGAAGAGCCGGAGAGTAGACCCCTTAAAGTTGCACCCAGCACGTGGACTAACATCTTTGAGTTTTGGTTAAAACTTGCTATTCTGCCTGTACGTTTAGCCCCATTTGTGCTAACCCATGTCCTTATCTTGAAATGGAAAAAAGGGCTAGAGGAGAAGCTGAGTGACTGTGGCTTTTCTCCTCACATGTTAATAACAAACCGTGTAGAACAAATTGCTTCTCTTCTTCTCGGATTTGTTAAACGCCTACAATCTGAGTTCCCCTCTTTTATGTTACTTCTGCACCCAAACACCATGAAATATCAAAAAATTATCATTTATATAATACATCAAATATGCATACTATTAAGAAGAAATGACATGCTGTTTCTTTTATACTGAAACTCAAACAACTTGCAGCCTAGCTGACTAAATATATTTATCAATGAATGATGCCAGTTCTATTTACAAGCTAGAATATGGTAATCCAAGAACTTTCTTTCAGATACTTTTCCAGTTTAACTTTGCCTTCCATTTGCCAACAACCTTATCAGCATTATCATTATCAACAACCTTATCAGCATTATCACTAGATGAGCTAGAAATGTACCGGAAAACAATTTCTAGCACAACATTGTCTTATATATGGCAGGATACTTGATTTAAATGTTTTAGTTGATCTAAACTAAATATATATTTGAAGGGAAGGCTTACCTTCTGAGATTTTACTTCCTCTGTAAGGATCAAAACTTGGTGCTGAAGAGAAGCTATTTTCTCCTGTTCTGCTCCTTCAACAAAATAACGGAAGCTGCTATTTGCTTTTTTGAATTTTCGGAGTGTTGGTGGCTTTAGCCTCATTTTTGTGTCCTTCTGCATCTCTGCCATGACTGAAATGAATATAAATGATAGTGAATAATCTTCTTGCAATGGAAGATGTCAGGGTTATATTCTGAGAAACTGGTAGATTAGCAGAACGTTAGTATCTGCTCTAGATTTGGAAAGTCACAGGATTTATGATGAATACAGGGCAATCCTCTGCATGTTTATCAGAAAGTACATTCCAGTGTATTCAATAAGACTTATTTCCATTAATGTCAAATAAAATTGAAGGCAAAGTTAAATAATTAATTTGCATTAGATTTAACCCTGGCATAAGTCCTACTGGATTCAGGAGGATTTATTTTTAAGTAATCTTAAGATAATGTAATTATTTTTGCTGTTTTTTGTTCATCTCCCACAGTTTCTCTTCATTAATCTACTTCATAATACAATAGCAAAATCTAACAGGAGATGCTTTTTCTACATTTTCACAATGCAAAGTCAAGTACCTGTATCCTCAGTTTCTCCTCTTAGGTGCTCTTCATCAGCAATATTTTCAAGATTATCCTGATTCCCCACAAAATTACCACTACTGTCTCTTCGGTTCTGGCGGCTGCCACATAAGTTATGCACTGTGTTTCTGAAAGTGGAGAATCACACAGAAGTGAACAGAAATGCTAATGCTTAGATCTTAAGTCTAGATCTCGCTACAATGACAAAGCGTTTTAGAGTGCACGTGGAAACTCATGTGATGGAACGTTCCTTCAAACTGAAACCCAAAATTCTCTGCAGACAGAAAAACAGCATTCCAACCCCCCACCCTGCCCCCCGCCCCTTCTCTCTGATATACTGGGTTTCTGAGTGTAGTAAGGCTACCATATCTGGGCTGCAAAATCCAACTAAGCCCCAGATGGCAACGAAGATATAGGCCACCATAGCTGAGCAGAAAATGCCAGGTCTTTGCAATCAATTTGTGGCTGACCAGATTTTTGCAGCCCATATGTGGTAGCTGTAATATGCAGAGAATATTTTTGTATAGTGAAACCCTAAATCAACATGAACTCCCACCTGGCATGAACAGTTAAAATATTCAACTGTTACAATAATTACAAATGCCAGTTTGTGTAGCAACTGTGGTTTGGTTTACTGAGATGGAAGGATTATAAAAGATTATAGATTATAGCAGGAAGCCAAGGTTCGAAGTCTTTCTGTTTTCTCAACTTCATCTGCTTTTAATACCAGAGAAGAGAAAGAATAGTCACAGTAATTGGTGTTAGGTTTAGTTGTTTAGGCTTAAACACCATGAAGAACTGAAGAATTAAGCAAGTATACTTGTTTTATATTATTTCTTATAACTTGACCAGTAAAAGAGAAGCAAAGTTCAGTACAGCTACTTAAATCTGATTCAGCAATATTTTTCATTTCTGAGATTTAAAACAGAAGCAATCATACACTTTCAAATGCAGCATATGTTTACAGTCTTAAGTATTAGAAAACACTTCCTGCTCCACTTGATAAATAAAAGTGCTCATTAAACTATACATGTACTCTGCAGCTAACATTTCACTCTGCTGTTGGATTATGGTATAAGCAAAGTCCAAATGAATCAAATATTAGAGGATGTTCTCCATTAATATCTACATGGCTAGTTTTGTGCAAGACAGCCAGTATGGTGTGGTTGTTAAGGCACCAGGCTAGAAACCAGGAGACTGGGAGTTCTAATCCCGCCTTAGGCACAAAGCCAGCTGGGTGACCTTGGGCCAGGCACTCCCTCTCAGCCTTGGTAAGGAGGCAAGGGCAAAGTACTTCTGAAAAACCTTGCCAAGAAAACTACAGGGACTTGCCCAGGCAATCACTAGGAGTCAAAAACTGACTCAAAGGCATGCATACACACACACACACACACGCACACACACCCCTCTACTACTACAAGACTGCTACAAGACTGCTAAGAGACTTACTACCAGCCATGGGGAAAAAGGAATCCTGAATACCACGAGGTCTCTATCTAGGCAATGCTAACAGAGGCACCAGAGCGTGTCCTCTGTCTCCCCACCCAGCTACTGATTACTTTAGTCAGTTGAGAAGTGAATAATAGTGGATGGAGCTATTCAAGGTTGCACAGGGAAGGCAACTGAGTGACATCTTACAGATTATTACTCTACTATAGAATACATGACTACAGCCTAAATCATGCTTACTATCTATAAATAAATGACAACGCTGTGCTTTCCTTTATCTTTTAAATTAAACGTGTTTATCTACAAATGCATATTAATTAATAATTTATATTGTGATATTTTAATTATTAATTTATAATAATAACTTTCATTTTATGTGTTAACATGTAAAATAAATGTTAAGAACTAGTTTGGTGTAGTGATTAAGGCACCAGGCTAGAAACCGGGAGATTCTGAATTCCAGTCTTACTTTGGGCACAAAGCCAGCTGGGTGACCTTGGGCCAGTCCCTCTCCCTCAGCTCTAGGAAGGAGGCAATGGCAAACCACTTCCAAAAGTCTTGCCAAGAAAATTGCTTGGACCTGTCCAGGCAGTCACCAGGCATCCAGACTGACTTGAAGGCATTCCGCCCCCCCTCCCCCCCCGGCAAAAGAACCGCTCGCCATGTCTCACATATATACAACAGAATACCGGTGCCTGTTTCAAGCACTGATTTGAAGCCCAATAAATGTGGGTGAGTATGGCTTCCATCACCTCTGACAACTTCCAGAGGGCACCAAGTTGAAGAAGGTGAATGTTTTACATATCTGATCAGACTGGCTTTTGTTGCTGTAAACTGATAGCACACAAGGACATTTACTTGTACTTGAGACGTCAGCAAATTAACATAAGTTAGTTTGCTGAAAAATATTTAGCACGGTTACTTTTCTGGAATGTAAATAGATGAAAGAGTTACTGTATTTCAATCCAAGGATGCTTGAGAGAGATGTTCTGCAGAGCGATAGAAGTCGATGGTGCTGGTAGAGAAGCTGCCTTTATGCCAACTACATCATCTGTGGGAGTTTTCACAAGGGGTAAAAAATCGTGTTCTGCCTCAGCTACAAAGAAAGAGATACAGCTTAACAGCTGGCAGTCAGGCATGCTAAATCTATAGTTCCCATGGCACAGCAACAACCCGCAAGGCGTTCTCAATTGCCTCTTGTGCAAACACTGCCCTTTGCCTTGTAACCAACCACTTCTCCTTCAAATCTGTAGACTATAAATAGAGAGACTCTGGGGGAAGGGGGAATCCTGCCGCTGATCTCCATTCTCCTAGGGGGCAGACTGGGTACAATCCAGTAATTTAAGGTGAATTCAATGTTGGCCAGTTCTCAGGCTGTCTTAACTTCCTACTTCAAAAGGAAAGAAACAGCATGATCTGCAACTTACTTAAGGACCTCTAAAAATATGGTTCTTGGCCATCTAGAAGTAACTTGCACTTTTCTGTCTTCTGTTGTCAAATTGGCCTGCTGCAGTTGGGCAACCTATGCTCAGCCTGTGCCTGATGACAAAGCAGGAACACACCCATCCCCCTGTTACTTTGTTCCCAACAGCTGAAATACAGAAATTCTCTTTTCATTGTGTTGATTACACTGACATCCTCACTTCCCACAAAATGGGGCCTAACAGCTAACACCAATCATTTAAACAGTATGAAGTTTAACAAAATACAGCACAAGAACTAAGGAGCCTAAAATGGAAAAGGACAGAAAGTTGGTAAACCAGTGATCAAAACTTCATTAATTCAAGGTTTATTATAACACCTATGAATGACAAATACATAATTCAGAATCCAAAATCCAAATTATAAATATTGACCTCTCATGATAACTTGAAATCAGTTTCAGGGCATACCACATGTACCCAATATGTGATTTTACATATCTCCTTCCCTCAATTTGGAAAACTGCGAGCACGTTGATTGGGCCAAGGCATGTGGAACTCCTGTGGCATGAACACCTATTTCACAAAATGTATCCGTGTAAGGGAAGGCAGCATGGAGCTTGAGTATTGTGGGATGTGGGACTGAGAAAGACAGGGCAGGTATGACCCCAGCTGTCTATTGACAATAAACTGGGGACAACTTGCATTATGTTTGTAGAAGGCCTTTTGCTTGCAAACATATATGGACCAAGATTGAAGGAGTATGTTCAGGATGATGGATGATGGACTAGTAATCAGAAGAGAAGAGGAAGAGAAGGAGGACTGGGAAGAAGAAGGGCAACAATAACAACTTTTGCAGCAAATATACGCATTTAGAATTCTTATATGATGGAGAGCTGTAGGTAGGAGGAATCAAGCCCCAAGCTAATGGCCTCATCTTGATCTCCATCAAGGCAAGTAGACGTTGAACAAATCAGGAGCCACTGCTTGGCCTTCCATTCATGTGGAACACTGAAGGACTCATTCTGCAATGCTATTTTATTTATTTTCTTTAATAATATTATGCTGAACTGATTACAGCATGAAGGGGAAAGATATTGAAATACTATCAAAATTAAAGGAAGGAAGGAAGGCAGGCAGGCAGGCAGGCAGGCAGGCAGGCAATGATAATACCAAAAGGGGTGGAGCCATCTTTTTCAGCCTTTTTATTGGGGGATGAAAGCAAAATTAGGAACAGGATGCTTTGGGAGAAAAACACTCTCACGCTATCCCTCTTCTAAACAGGCCAAACTTGTGCTGATACTCAGCACCACAGTCTGGTGGCCTGCTAGGGGATCAGAAATAGGGCGCCACCACAGGCAGTCAAGGGACCAGGAGCTGTCTACCCTGGCCTACATAGCCTCTAATGAAAGTGCTGCCTCCTCTTGCAATTCAAGACCAAGCTATTATATTGTTATTACTTACTGTTGCTCCACTGGGCCTCATCTATGGAAGGAAAGGATGACACGGCTTCAACAAAACCCTTAGCCTGATTATTACAGAATTCCCAGCGTTTCAGCTGCAACTGTTGTAGCCAATACATCATGGCTTGTTTGTTAATAGCCTGTAGTTCAATATAAAATCAAAACAAAAGAGAAAAGAAGTCAAGATATAGTCTTTGTAATTCAAGTAGTTAGTGACTGAAGTAGTCTTTTCCAAAATTGTTGCTCTTCAGATGGGTTGGGAGTGCCACTCCCAATGTTCTTGTTTATCACTAGCATGCTAAACATTTATTGTCCTAAGATTTTTTAAAATCTGATTTTCCTGGAGGGAATATATTTATACACGAAGCAAAAAGTTACATTTGTTTACATACTATGTCATGTTTCATAATCAATCAATCTATCTACTGAGACTGTTTAGAGGTAAGCTTATTGCTTGCCCAACAATGTAATGCTATTCTCAAAAAAAGATATTACTCATCTTGTACATGGTGGGGTGGGTTTTTTTAATAAATCTTTTCAAGCATAGCAACTAGCCAGATCTTCTCAAGCCATATTTGAATACAAAGTTTATTTAAATATTCTAGCACTCAGTGGGAATTTCTTTAGCTACCACAAGAACATAATCAGTTTCTTGCTTCATAATGTTTTATGTAGCAAATTTAAACTTGGAGAGTTGAATCCTTTGTTTAGCCACTTCATCAAAAACATCCTCCCAAGATGCTGAAATTCATATTAATTGGGAATTTAGGAGCTGAAATCTTAACATATTGGAGGTTAGAGAAAGCTGGCTTAGAAATACAGCTTTTTCTGCATTGGCAAGTCTGAGGAAGCCACCAAAATCTATGCAAAATCTCAACGTTTTGGCGGCATTTGGATGATAAAAATCTAGTCCACAATTTTTGCAAGAAAGAGCTCTGTCAATCTCTGGCTATAATCCACACATGAAACTTCAGAAGAGGGAAAATTATTACTAATTACATTCTGCAGCTTGCTTTCTTGTTTTTATTTTTCAGACCATATTACACTGGTCTTGTGCCAACTGTACTAGCTGCTGATCTGCTTTTCAATTCAAGATTCTGGAAAATGCTTTATAAGCCTTAGTTGGCTTAAAGTCAAGATATCTGAAAGCTGAAACCTTTTTAAAACTGCTTGGCTTTTATTTATTGGTTTGTTTGAAGACCAAAGATTCTAATTCTACTCTTAACTGTTTTCTTGCTTTCTTGTTTTTGGAGTATTTTGCTTATAAAATGCACTGGGGCCACTGCAGGCAAGAGGGAAATGTTTTATAAACAAATAATGTGTTAAAGCTAAAAAAATTGACTTTTAAAAAATTGACATGCAAAAGATGCTAAAAATTGGGGACGGGGAAGAGTTCTGAATGCTATTATACATCACAGTGGAATATTTTCTTTAAGAAAGTATTTGTTGGAAATCATGCGTAAGGCAATTTCCTGGAGACAAAAGCTTTGTCCTCATCACAGAGCATTTTGAAATGGGAACAAAAACATGAAGCTCACTCAAGATCCAAAAAACACGGAACTCTTTTAATATGCCATTGTGATTTAATTCTAATTGTCCCCACTACTTCAGCATCCATGATAAAAGGTTTAAGGACAGAAGACTGAAATCCTTATTAATCGTATGCCAGTTACAAATAGATGGAGCTGCATGAACTGCACTCGATAAATCCAGATTTTTTGGTGCTATAAACAGGAACAAAAGATACGCTGATTTATATTTCTACTATAAATCCTCCCAGGTGTTTAGACATAGCTCTCCTGTGGACTTCAGTCCCAATTTATGCTACCAGCCGCAACATCAGCCCCCCATCTCCCCTGCATTTACATACCTTAAGAATAAAGTCTTTGATGGGAGTCCTGATTTCAAAAATACCTTCATCAGCTCCCACTTTAAGATCAAAACTCGCAATAGAAATCTCTATGCTTCCCAAAGGGTTAATATCTTGTGCTGTCCTGTAGTAAAGTAAGTGGCACTTATTTTCATCATAGGAAAACCAGCGTGACTTCCAGGTCCTGATTGATGCTTTAGGAGAACATTTATATAAATAGCCACATAGTTTTTTCTTAGGGGTTTCTTGGCCAGGTTTCAGATCAGCATTTTCCCAGTCCTCAGGGCAAGGAGATACATCTCTGATGACATAATCACTGCTACTCCCAGCATCTTTAATTTTTTCCTCTGGTAACATGTTTGATGACCCAGGTACAAGACCCTCTCTGTCCTCATTAGCTGATTTCATGTTTCCTTGAACAGCAGGATGATAGAATACTAATGGCAAAAAAGAGAAAAGAGACACAGGCTAAGAACAGTAAAGGATAACCAAGTACATGCAATAAGACCAGTCACCTAAAATTATCTGAAATTCCAAATAGAACATATTTTTCTTAGTGCCAAAATACAGGAAAGATTTTTCCATTTGCCTTACTTAAATGAATGGGTGTTATTCATTCTGCTAAAACCATAATTAAATAGTAAATCTATTTTTTAAATCTATTGTTGACTGATACTTTTATTAGGACCAAGGAAAATGGCTCAAATGTGCACGTTTTTGAATTCTCCAGAACTCTTTTTGGCCATGAAGTTATAAAATGCATAGGACAAGAGGATGTAAGTATTCCCTTTCTGTTAATTTCCTTCTCTTGCCAACAAGTTTAAACAAAACAGGAGTTGAACTTTGGACATTCATAAGATTACACATAATGCAATGGAGGCACATTTCAGCAGAATGTAAAGTTGTGACCACAATGACTTTGAATAATCACTCTTCCCACTACAGCTCTCTGCCTTCTCCAAAGCTATGACACTTAGCCTCTGGTCACCAAAAGGCTGTCCAGCCCTGTCTTAAAATGTACCTGAAGAGTTTTTACCAGAAACAGAATTGGAAAAATCCTGTCCCATCTACTCTGAAAGTAATATAATAGGAACTAATAACATTAGTCAAACATCAAGGTTTGCACAACTGTTCGTCTTCCACTATCAACTTTGTTATATAATTTTGTGTTAGACAAACATGCCAGTCCCTATGCAAAAGAATGAATGAACGCAAATGGAGGCCTCAAAAATGTCCCAAAACTAGTAGGAAAATAGATTCAGCAGGAAAATAGTAGGTCCATCTGATCACTTTGCTACTCAACTTAAAAGAGAGATCCTAGAACAAAGCACCTTCAGAAAGAAATTATAGCATGCATTTTCATGTCTAGTTTCATTTTGACTGTATAAAACAGGCTGCATGAAACACCTGATCTAAATCCAAAGAAGGATGGAAGGAAGGAAGGAAAGTAGGTAGGTGTGGTAGAAGAAAGGGGAAAAGGAATGCTTCCATTTTTAAAAAAAATTATTTTGTTCATCTATCACTGTCTTTGCGCCTATCAGTAGCACAGGACTCAGCAAGTTTATGCTCCTGTAATAATTCCTCATCTTACAAAAGAAAGAATACATTTTTGTCTGGAACTATGATGTCAAAAAAGGCATTGCTTTCCTGGAGCCTGTATTCAAGATGAGACCAAAAGACACATGTTGTAGTACCAATAAATTACAGTACTGGATTACAGCCTGCATTTAGCAGTACTGCTGAATTCAATGGTTGATTAAATCACTTCCAATTCTATAATTCTTTACAAGTGTTAATTTATTCAGAAATGCTTGCATGATTGGATTGTTTAATCTTCAATTACTGCTGCCAAGAAGGATTATTTTGCATGGGTTTAGTTCTAATTGTATTCTCACCAATTAAAGCCAAGGGGATCTTTTTTTCACTGTAAATCCTGCAGCCTCAGGCAGTGAATGAACATTAAAATGAATAGAGAGAAGACTGAGAATGGCTGGATCAAACTCTCATCCCTTCACGGGGGCCCCACGAACAACAGAAAATAAAAGGAACCAATCTGCCTACTTCTTTTAAAGCATAATTTGCCGTAGGATAAATTCTGTACTTTGTATTACACCTCTCAACTCACCCTACCTCTCAGGGTTGCTGTTGGGGGGAAGCTCCCGGAGAAAAGTCAGGCTATAAAGCAAAGCAGAACAACTCGAGTCCTCGTCTTTTTTCTCACACCGCGTGACTGCACATCTCTTTGGCCGCTCCGGCGTCACCTGCTATGCCTCAGTGGCGCCAAGCCCAAGAGAGTAGATGCCGTAAGAAGACGTGCGAGTGGTTCAGGTGAGCAATGCGCGGCCAGCCACCGCTGCTCCTACCGAGATTTCAGGGATGTGCGAGGGCGCACGCCTCTGCTCGCCCATCCAGGGGCGCGCCCTCCTGAACTCAAGGAAACCGCTTCTGCATAACGCGCGTCCCGAGAGTCCACACGAGCCGTTCCCCCAAGGAAGCCAGTGCTGCGACCGGCTCTTTTTACCTCAGCTCAGCCTGCCCCCGGACCTCCAGGCAACAACGCTCACAGTCGCCCGAGCCGTCTCCTGACGCCCGGCACAGCTGCTTCCTGGCGGGGCGGGGCGATGCCAGGCTGTCCCGGCCTGGCAGGCTCGCAGCAAGCGGAAAAGGCAGCGAGGAGGCTGCCTCGCCCAAGAATTCTTCCCGATCGCTTCGTGGTCAGGAGCTCCGCGTGCTTCGAGTTGAATCGGCGTTGCCCGACGTAGGAGTCTGCAGTCTTCCTCCCTATTCCAACTATTTCAAGAGAGGCTTCACTGTGTATTTTTGCACTGAGCAAAATACAGTACTGGGTGGAACTGGATGGCGCCAAGGGCCTCTTCCAACTTTTATGATTCTCTGATTGCAACCTCGGTTCCACCAGCTAAAAGAGCGGGTGAGAGCAATCGGCAGTCCCAGAAAGTATTAAACCCTATCGTAGTCCGCCCACCTGCACCCTCTTATGGCTGTGAAGAGGGGTTGCGTTAAAAATCGGAAGCAGGGTTTCCAGAGCGTCCGCGCTTAAGAAAAAGGACGTTTTGATACCGCACAACCCACTGAATCATAAGCTAGCCAGTCACATTTAGCTCCGTAGGTAAACCTTTGTTATGGTCTTTGACCAACGTGTACACGCATCCGTATACATATACATACATACTTTAGTCTCATATTTTGAGTGTTCCCAGTCAGCATATTTAGTTTATGGTTCAGTCTGTTGTGTGAACTGAGAAAACTGAGTTAACTGAAAAGCTTGAATATATGTGGCATGAGAGCATAGATTTTAAGTTGTCTCAATCAGCTTATGATTAAGATTTCACTTTACTACTGTGCAGCCTGTTAATAGAGATACTGAGCTTATTTATTTAATAGATTGATATCCTGCCTTTCTTCCAAACGTTCAAGGTTCCTTTCATTTTATCTCAACAACAATCCTGTGAAGTAGGCTGACTGAGAGAGTGCAGCTGGCTCAAAGTCCCCAGTGAGTCTGGGTGGACTTGAACTTCAGACCTTATCCTGTCCTCACCACTCCACCACATGGGCTCTCAATGACTTCCTCCAGTTCTAGGGTTCTGTTATATTTATTTGATTTTTAACAGCTCTATGATGCCTTTCCCTAAAGCAGCATACAGTGATAAAAACAGTTATAAAGAGCAATGTGCGATCAAAATCAAAATAACATTTTATTAATGTTTGTTTTATACTACTAGCATCCTCTTCATTAAAAGCAGTTTGAAATAAAAGCATTTTAAGGGCCCTCAAAAATAAAAGTGAGAACCCATCTCTCAGCAGATAAAGTGCCATGGATAAAGAGCTACGGTCAGCTCTGAAATCATTTCACCCCAGACCACCTTGCTCATACATTACACTGTTATGGTTTGTTTAATGATAATTTATTCCATAAACAGCAACTGGTAGGTTCACACAATGAGACATAAACCATTGTTTACTAACCACAATGTCTGGATTCACACATTTAACCAAAATAAACCATATTATGGCTTAGTGTAATGTGTAAATCCAACCATTTCTCTTCTTTGCATTGTGAGAAAGATCTGGGATTTCCCTGTTTTGCTTGCTGTAGGAAAGTATGTATCAGATGAATGTCTAATTCTCCTTGGAAGGATGACCCTGTTCATTTATTACTGGAAGAAGTGTGGTAGCAACTTTTCAGACTAGCAAATTTCATTAAAAAGCAGATACTTTCAAAGTTTCTGCCTTTGTCTTTTAATCAGACTATTGATTTTGGGCTACCAGACTAACACAGTTCTCCTTCTGCAGTACAGGAGTGTGGATTTATGCTGCACAAATTTGGATAACTTAAAACACTTGCCACAAGAATGTGCCCAACACACAATCTAGAAATCACTGGTTGCCAGAGATGAAACTATGTCTAAAAGAGACAAGCTAGCCTATCATTCATCAGTTATCATTACTTACTTGATATTCTATATGCTCTGAATATTAGTCTTTTTCGAATGTGTTACTCCCTTTCATTCACTCAACTAGCATTTAATCAAAGTTAGCTCTGAAAATCCATTTTTTTTCAATACTGAACATATCGATAATTACATTTTGCATTTTTTAACAAAGGAAAAACGCAAAATCACTGTTAAAAGTAGCTGGGTTTCACTGAGATGCTGTAATATTATCCTGCATTAACATTCACATTAAAGACCGTGGAACGGAGTCACAAAACCCGGAGGAGACCTCGAAGCGTCCTTACGTAAATCATCATGGTCCTCGGCTGGACGCGCGTTTAGTTAGTGGCTCTGCCCTCACCCAGTTTGCCTTCAAAACGTCACTGAGCATGCGCAGCTGAACAGCCGCGCTGCCCTCATTCTTTTTAGCTTCACAGGTTCACAGAGCATGCTCCGGACGGCCTTTGCCCAGACAGTGGCTTTAAAGATGGCAGGCGTGCTACGTCTCTAGTTTGGTTGCACGCGGGCAGTTGTTGCAGGGAAAGGGAGCGTCGCTGTCAAGAGTTCGGAGGTATTTTCCTCGTCTCATTTGCGGATTTTGATGTAACCTACTTTTATCAAGGGGCAAAGGGAAGATAAAATGTTTGGACCTTTATTTAAGGATTCATCTTTTTTTGAATAGCATGGTCAGACTTCAGAGCAGTCATGGAGGGTCGTGTTCCAGCCACTGCTTAATCAGTGTTTCTCAACCTTGGCAGCTTTAAGAGATGTGGGGATTCCAACCCCCCGAACCCCCCCCCCACCACCCCACCCGGGGGGGGCGGGGGGGTGGGGTGGAACCCCTACACACTTATACA